CCCACGGAGAGCAGCAAGCCCTGTGCTCTACAATAAGGTATTGGGCTGGCAATATTTCCTTCCAGACATGAAAAATTCATGGTTAGACTCATTTGCAGATGAATTCCAACTGAGCTACAGCCTGCACCCAGAGCAGAGACTCCCGACCTGATTTCACAGCTGCTGTATCAGAAAGATTGCTGGCAGCTAAACTGGGATCCTGTAGCATCCCCAAACACAAAAGCACTGATGCCGTGATGGGTAGGGAACACCCTCCCAACAGACCACCAGGCTACAGACACCCATCCCTACAGCAGTGTGGGGAGGCCACCCGGTGACTGAGGAGGCTGTGCGGTAAGCCTGGAGAGACGTGTACAACTTCCATGGGAGTGCTCTAAGCCTTTCACATCCCTGCTGAGCCTGAACACCCTGCACAAACGACTCCTGCCACAACCCTGCCAAGTGTATGAGCTCCAAAGCCTCTTGGGGGCAGAGACCAGGATCCACTGGGATCTGGAGGTGACAGTGAGCCTCCACCTGTGCAGGGCCTCAATGCCCCAGCAGCTCCCTCGCGGTGCCTCCGACACTGACACCTGCGTCTGGGTCACGATCAGGGCAATGCAGAGTGCAAAGAGATCCACCACGGCAGCAGCACTGCCTAAAATTAGCTCCTGTGAACTTTTCCTCTCCAAGCTGGGTGTCACTGCTGCTCTGGTTAAACACACCATGACTTCCTGGCTCGCCCAGGAATAAGGAATGCTTAGCTAACACTAACCAGCCACGAGCAGCATCAGCTCCTCTCACCCTTCTGAGCTGCCCAAAGCCTTTGGCCAGGGGCTCCTCACACATTTACTGAACAGGGAGCCAAACACTGACTGGCTTTGAATATCATCTAAAAATGAGTCTGTTCCAGCTTCCAGGGGATTTTAACTCCACATTTTCCAAGCATGTAACGGACAACACATGGTCATGTTCAACACAAACACCACATGCCTGCACACCTGGCTCCTGCCCCTCTGCCATGAGCCCTGCTAGATCCAAAGCACAGACTGCTGTAAGGACCAGAGAATTCTGCAGGGGCTCAGGCTGTGAGAGGAAAGGGCTGGATATGGCCCAAGGCTGGCACACAGACTGCCAGTGGGCGCTGAGCAGGGAAGGGATATTTCTGTGCCTGCAATCAGGCTTGAAGGTGACACACCTCTCCCTCCAGTACTCTGTCATCCACAGGGCTGGAGCTATCCTGTGGCTGGAGAAAGCTGTGGGAGACAGGTGGTCTCCTGCAGCAGGTGGGGATGAAGCAGAGCCAGGGAAGGGGTCAGTGCAGTGATGTGCTCCTAAAGCAGCTGGGGAAGCAGCCCCTGGGATGACCCTGAGAGACATCAGAGGGACAGAACTCTGCTCAGCACGCAGTGACATGGAGCATCCTGAGGTGTGACAGGTGGCAGACATGGGCAGTGGGAACAGCAAGGAACCAAAGCTTCAGAGCAACTCAGCAAAGACTCAAACAAAACAATATTAAAGGAACAAATGAACCAGTGGGGAAAACCTAAGAGAGTCCCTTTAGGATGCCTAGATGATTATAATCATAGCAGTCAAGGGGAGAGAGCAGCACTGTGCAGGGAGAAGGGGCTCATGCTGGTACTGCTCCTAAAACATGCCCTAAAACACTGTTTCTTAACAGCTGTCAGAAATCAGAATTACAGTAAAACATGAGCCGAACTTGTGACAACACACACACATACACAGAAGTTACTGAATACACCTGTTTTTCAGAGCACGCCACTTGATGTACCCAATTTTACACTTCCACTTCTAGGACTGAACAGTTAGCACAGCAGTCAGGGTTTTGCCCAGACCCAACTCCTCCCAGCTCGCACTGCTGAACACTCTGACAACCTCACGCACACACCGGGTCTAACAATTGTCACGCCCTAATACTCAAACCACTTGCAGGATGGCTTGAATTGCCTTTAAGCACCAGGTAGAGTTCAGCTCAGTCTAAGGTAACTCTGCTTTGGGCTGACTCGTGCCCAGGGCAGAAGCAGGGCCTATGGCTCGAGCTGGCTGAGGTCAGCAGAGCTGCTGGCAGCCCACGGCCGACTCAGACCAGCTCTGCCACCTCAGGGTGCCCTGGCTGCTTGAAGACAGCTGGGACAGCACAGCACGGGGTGCCACGCTGCTCCCGGGGCCTGCTCCAGGGGAATCCTGCCAGCCAAGCCCACCCAAACCCTCCTCGGGGATGGGGCAGCACCCAGAGCTCCTCTCGTAAGGGACAGCTAGTGCCATTCCTTCGGTCAGTGAAACCTGTGCTTTCCTGTCAGTGGAACTGGGTTGGCACCTGGTGCTGGAAATCCTCTGGATTATATCCCAGAAGAGCTGTCTCCCCTGGGCTGGCAGTGCAGAGTTTTCCCTGGATGTGTCAGCGCGAGGAGAGGGAAAAGCAGCAGTGAGAGAAGAGAGCAGCAAAGCCAAGGATCTGTAAGGAAGTCTCCTGCCCTCGGAGCTCGCCCTGCTTCTCCTACAGGTCACGAGAAGCTACAGAGCTGTGTACGATTCCTGGCACAATCCAGTATTCTCTGCAAATCCACTGCCTTGTATCATTTGTTAACCTCCGGAATAGCAATTCCAGTAAGCTTTCTCCTACTGCAAGGATATTTAATTAACTCATGTTTAATAACTGCTTAGTCTTTTACAGGACCTTTCTATCCATTCTTTAACACGTCACTTCCATCCCTCACTGGTGCCGTGGATTCTCCCCCTTAATTCCCACAAACCTGCACCTCTAGTTCTCCCACAAGGCTGTCCCAGGGAAGAGATGCTGAACACCAAAGCTCTGGGTCAGCCTGCAGAGCCAGTGAGGAATTCCTGAACCACTCCTGAATACCTCTGAGGCTCCACTGCCAGTCCTCAGGGCTGAGCACTTCTGGCCTTGCATCCAGGCTCCCTCTCCTGCCCCTACACTTCCATCAATCCATGGTGTGCACAGGCCTGGAGAAACAGAAATCACAAGGTGATCCCATGGGAAACATCATGGATTGCAACTCCCCATGAGTGTGCAGGCAGGACA